GGATTGCTGGTGAGATTCTGCAACTATTGGCATAAATTTTCAATGGACTTTTGATTTTCTTCCTCGTTATTCGGGACCCTATTCACCTCTTTCATCTTTTAACGAATCGAAGAGAATCCTTCTGAGTATAGCCGGTTCACTTCAAAATGTGTGATAAGGGTTCGAATAAACAAGTTAATCGGGTTACTCAAAGCATAAACATCATTACCCTGCAGGGTTCGGAGTTCTGTGGGTGAACAATTATCTATATCGAGCTTGCATTTAATCCAGGTACCATGTGGATCGGCAACATCAGGAGCCAGAATGTTCTTTATCTGGAAAAATAAAAGATGGCATCATAAGATTCAGAATTTTCTTTTACTCTCTTCGAACACGCAGAACCATTAGCCTGATCTGATTACAAAATGTGCATAAAGTCCTCAAGTTACTTGTTTTCATATAGAAAATGAGATAGAATTATAGTTGCCTTTCGGAGACTTTATGCTTATTTTATGTTGAGTACTGGACATTAAACAGGTTATTGAACGGGATTTTAACTTCGTCTTTCTTCCTTGTCCTATGTAGGACTATCATATCATCCTTACCAAACACGTCATAAACGTCCAAAGAAGACAAAGTTTCTCTTGCAGTGTGTGTTTTTTCTCAACGAAACATGGATGGACACTAAACACCAATTATCCCCATATCCAACTCGAACAAGTTGATAAAGAAAAAAATATAGTTTCTTCTTAGCCAATAAGAGAATGATAAACCTCAAGACACAAATGCAAACATATTATAGCAATCATCATCTTTGTCCATTCCAGATAAGATATTTGCAGACCTGCCATGAGTCGTAGGCGGCATTTATAAGGAAAAGTGGCGTCTGAATTCGTTGTGCCATGTATTGGGGGAAAAAACACTGCAAAATGTGGAGACATATTAACATGACTTATGTTATATTCTTGATGGCAACGATCTAGTCAAGAAAACTGATCATACCAAACTTGGCTTCATTTTTGAGGTGCAAGATTGAGGCAAATTCTTTGCCGATCCCTGCAGCCGCAATCAGAAAAGGATGATTTATAGGATGAAACAAATGAAGCATATATTAGCAAAGCATAGAAATTGTTGCAGAAAAAACTATGACAGAAAGGAGAATAATCATGTACATGTGTGGTAACAACATCGTTGAAGTAAGCTGCAAT